TGGAACACCCAAAATGAGTTTTTATTTCTTTGCGAAATATTTGGAAAATAGAAAACAACTCAGAACGATTTTTCATTAAAAACAACCAAGTCATCCGAGAATGATCATCCACAAAGGTCACAAAATAACGAAATCCATTAATAGAAATATGTTTTATTGGTCCCCATACATCTGAATGAACTAATTGAAAAGGACTAGCAACACGATTATTAGCCCTTGGTTTGAAAGATACACGACAATGCTTACTAAGCTGACATGTTTCACAAGACATGGACTCAACACGACTAAGACCGAGGACTGCTGCAAAACTGATAGTGATGGATGGCCGAGACGACAGTGCCACTTGAAAGAAGACAAAGATGATTCAAAAGCCGTAGGAGATGGTGCAAGATCGAAGTAATACAAGCCACCTACTTCATGTCCCGTACCAATCCTCTTCTTCGTCTTGAGATCCTGAAAAAGACAACATGTGGGATAAAATGTAACAGAACAGTGAAGAGATTTAGTAATTTTGCTAATGGACAACAAATTAAAAGGGAATTGAGGAACAAATAACACAGAGGAAAGGGACATAGAAGAGGTAAGATGAATAGTTCCCAAACCCAAAACTTTAGTTGATGATCCATTAGCAAGAGTAACACTTTGGGAGGAAGGAACAGACTGAAAATCAGATAAGAGATGAGAACTACCGGTCATGTGATCGGATGCGCCAAAGTCAAGAATCCAGGGACTCTGACTAGAGGACAAAAGACATGTAGGGGCACTACCTGATTGGACCAAGGACCCATGGAAGATGAGGTGGAAGGCCGTTGTTGAGACAGAAACTGAGCATACTCATCGCGGGGAATCATGACCATAGCATTCTCAACAGCCACATGTGGAGTAGTGGGTGTGGCAGAGAGAGAAGAATCTCCATCATTAGAAGTCACTTAATGTGCATAGGAAGAAGGTGGTGGTTTCCCATGAAGATCCCAACAGTAATTGACAGTGTGATTAGTAAGACCGCAGTAAGTACAAAGTTTTGAGTCTCGGCCTCTGCCTCGACCACGGCTACGGGCACGGCCACGAGTAAAACGACCACCACCACCACAAGAAGACTGAAAGCCACCCTGGTTCACAACTAAGGCAAAATGTTCACTGCTAGGAGGAGCAGTGACACCACTGAAAGCACCTCCTGAAGCGCCACTAGATAAAGTGGCACGCTGGAGTCTAGATAACATATCAAGTAGAGAGGGAAGTGCAGGGCTCCCCAAAATCTGTGCACGAGCAGGTTCAAACTCTTGTGACAATCCTGTGAGAACCCGAACTACATTAAAATCCTCACGTTGCTACTGCATGCTTTTCACATCAGAGATGATGTGTTGATACATATTCATTTCTTCACAAAGTCCCATTGCCCGTGAGAGGTATTCTTCTAAACTTTGAGTCCCTTGCTGGAGGTCAAAAAATTATCTACACACCTCATAAATTCTGGTTATATTACCAGCACCGGAATATAACTATTGGAGTCGGGTCCATATCTCCTTGGCAGTGTCCAGATATAACAAGTTGGAGCTAATATGAGGTTCAATACAATTCAGCATTAAGGAGATGATCTGATCATCCCTTTGTTCCCATGAACTGAAATCAGCATCAGTGCTTTTGGGTTTATCCTTAACCAAATGAGCACCAAAGCCTTTGGCTTTCAGGAAAATGGCCACTGACTTGGACCATAAAATGTAATTTTTGCCATTAAGCTTGACTAAAGTCATGGGAGGATTGAAGGAGCTAGAAGATAACAGGTCTGAATTGGAAGCCATGGAGAAGGTAAAAAAACAGACGAACTTGGGGAAAAAAAAAAATGCAGAATCGGCAACCGGGTCGGATCAAAACCAAGTCTCTGCTATCCCGGTTTTAGTAAACCAGGGTTGGAATAGCATAGCCGCGTAGCCAAACAAGGCTGTTCTTCTTCACAACCACCAACAGACTCCGGCAAGCACACAGCAACGACACCACACCGAATCAGAACCTCAGCAACTTCCGACCAAGAAAAAGGACGAATCTACGAAGCCTCACCTCTGCAAACAACGACGGTGGATGTCGGCGAGCTTGCTGACGATTAACGCAGCAACAACACAAGCGGCCAAGGGGCTTCAGATCTGAAGGCAACGAAGGAGACTGCAGATCTGATGACGACGACTACGGGCTTCAGATCTGACGGCGACGAAGGGCGATAACGACTAAGAGTGCTGTTCTCAACCTACCGGCGACAAAAACTTCCGGCAAAGACACCAACAACACACTCGCGATTCCAATCGCGAGTCCAATCTCATACAAGGGCAACACGTTTGTCGTTTCCCACACCCATAAATCTATATTGCTATGATACCATGTTCAAATTCATGAGAGATAAAGAGAGAGAGAGAGAGAGAGAGAGAAATGTATATTCTGTGTCCCTTATTCAGCCCTCTCAATGAGGCTTATATAAAGAACAAGGGTTATACACCCTAATTACACAACATTGCTTAATTACACAATAAGCCTAACTACTATGGGTAATTACATAATGACCCAACATTATGGAGGATACAAACATTCTAACACATACGTATATCAAGGCTATTCAAATCAGGATTGAATGTTTGACTGATGAGATCTTCATGATTGGATCAAATCATAAGATTCTCTAATATATATATAGAGAGAGAGGTTCTAGATATTTGCACACCTTAAGGATTCTTAAAAGTACACAATGAAAAAACTTATAACGCAAAAAGAGTATAGTAGGAAAGATCAAGACAAACAATTGGAGCATCTGAGCTTAAACAAGTCTTCATAATAATTTTGAAGCAAAGTAGCCCTCACATAAAATAATAAAGTTATTAGCACAAAAGGAATTTATATTAGATAGCACTGACTATAAGAGGACATTTCAAAGATAGACATAATCTATAAGATGAAAAGATTCATTGATGACTATCAATGATAAGACACGCCATGGAATTATTCAATTTACATGAAAATTTATTTTAAAATAATCGGTCATTTGGCCATGAAAGGCCATGTAACAGAGCCTATAACAAAATGGAAAGCATGTGAAGCATTCGGGTCTATTTGGATATGAGACCATTCATTTAAAACAAAGTTATGGACTTTTATAGAGAGAGCCAATTGGCCTGAAGCAATGCATTTGAAGCCTCTTTTCTGCTACACGTGGGGCAACATACAAACCCAAAGAAAAAGAAAAATGAAGTAAAGCAAAGTCATAAAACATAAAAACGAAAGCGTCAAAAAGCCTAAATTAGTTATTAGAGTAATTGACCAGTCAAGTTAGAAAAGTTATTTGAAGTTGAAAAGAGAAAAAATTAGGACATTTTTTTATTTTTTAAGGACATTTAAGAGGGTAAGGACTTACTATTTGGATCTGAGTTAGATAGATTCAGCATTTCTAAACTGTAAGATCCAGATCGAAATTTAACAACCAACATATATTTAAAGATTCTCTTATATAAACTTCTTCACCTCTGGGTATACAAATACATAACGGATCTCTTCTTTTGGCTACTCACATGCTTCACAGTCTCTGTGAAATATACAAAGCCTTTTTCCTTAATACCTTCTGGTATCCCAGCTGTTAGACAAACCAAACTAGAGACCTTTCCTTGGTTTCATAATTAAGGGTGCAACTCATTTTAGTCTGGAAGTCAGTTTAGCATCAACCTAGAATTTTAATCAACTTCTAATTGTATACCCTTCTTTTCTTTTCTTTTTAAATTCGAAACCAGCCCACAAACTATTGGAACCAAACTGACCCAACCAATCCAAGGTTCGGTATGGTTAATAAGGTTCAGTTCCATAAAAGATTTTGCTAATTTTCAATTGTTGGCATCTTCAAATATTTTCTAATAAAATTAATAACATGAAATGGAAGTCATTTACTTGAGCAAGATTCTTGCTTCATCTGTATGTATAACTTTAATATGCATGTCACCAATGTGATAACATACTTCCCAATGCATGCAATATTATATCATATTCCTAGCAAGGCCCATGACATCATTAATACAGGTTCAGGTAGATGGATCAATCCTAAAATAATGCTTTGTTTCTATATCAATCTGCAACCTCGTTTTAACAAGATATCTACATGAAAACAAGAATAATATAAATGTATATATAGTAAATAAAAGCAAATGGTGTATTCTTAGATTATATTGATATACCCCAATAATCAACCAAAACTAAACCAAATTATATCGGTTTTCTTATTTTCCAATCCAAATCAAACCTGAGACATCCAAAAACTGAACGAAACCAAACCAAACCAAAATGGGTTGGGTCGTTTTGGTTCTTGGATTCTTGAAATGTAAAATGGAAGCATCATAAATTGTACAATCATGAACCAGGAAATTAAGTGCAACCATTCTCTTAGGAAACATCACACCAAAGTGAAAGTCTATATGCTGCTAGCTTTGGGGAGGAATAAAAGAAAAGACCCTAATCACATGCCAAAATAGTTTTAGCACTGTCTTTTCAAACTTTTTTGGCTTGGAATTACTCCTCGACTAAAAGGCAATAACAAGACAGGACCAGCCTGTACATATTCACTTTATGGAATAGCCTCAAGATCAAGGTCTTAAAACAACCCTAATACAAGGGAAAGAACTCTTAGGTTGTACCTGAGGCCTTTGGATAGAGAGAGTCAAGCTTATAATTGCATTTTAATTCCCATTAAAAAAGACTAAAGAAGAAGAAGACCAATAAGGAATAATCCATTATTTAACAGGGAATGTGTTTCGTTCTAGTTAATGCTTAGCAGATATTAGAGGATCAACTCCATGGATACATGCTATTTAGGGGTTGATATTCATTTGCTGTTTATATTATATTTTCTAAATTCTAAACAGAAAACATACTAATTCTTTAAAAATCATGAAACCAGAAGATAGAACCTTCTAATTATCAATTTCATAAAAAACAGTATACCACTCATCGATTTCATGGGAATACGGATTTTTAACCTTTATAGCAAATAAGTCACCAGTTGCCCTTTTTCTGGCGAGGAAAACTCGTCCAAACGCACCTCTGCTGATTGGTTTTACTATTTCAAAGTCTTCTATAGATGTTCTGTCCTTAGAAGACGGATTTATAGGGCTTGCACGCAAACTACGAACTGCATCTTCTTCCACGGAACTCTCTTCGTCAGCCATGGTAATTGATGATTCTACTTTTTCATCTTCTATCTGCCCACAAAGATGAACGTATTTCTCCCTGTAGAGTTTGGGGACATATGGATATCATAAATAAGATAGAGAGACGTAAATACTAAACCAATCATGGAAAAAAAAACACCTAAAATTTATTCTAGGGAAAACAAATCATATCTGGCAGTAGTTTACAGAAATGTTCCATAAGATAATATACGAAAAAAATAAAAATAAGAAAAAAAAAAAAAAATTTTAAAAAGAAGAAGAAAGGCTATCAACTTCATATTCTGTGAGATCACAAGCAACAATTAGTAATAAGTTTTACATTGAAAATAGAACTCACTGCAATAGTTTCTCTATACGTCTCCCAAAGGTCTCAACAACTAGGGCATCCACCTTCCTGTCCTGGATGGCATATTTCAGGTCTTCTAGGCGGTCGAGCATATACTCCAAGGAACTGTAATCATTAGCGTTTACATTTGCTATTGATCGAGCGATATCCAATAGCTTGTGTATCTACCATTCCATGATATTAAAGAAGAGTTCCAATAAGTTGAGCAACAAAATGATTAAGTAAATTGTGCAACAAACATTAATAAGATCTTGAAAGATGAAAACAGCAGCTTAAAGGTAAAATCAATTGTCATTTATGTACTCCTAAAAATTGACAGACCGAAAGATGATTCAAAAATTGAATTGCAGATGATATTAGAGCACTGATGGATTTGTATATCATATAAAGCAAACCACAAGAGTCAACAAGTTTATGAACAATACTGTTCCAAAAATGTCTGGATTCAGCCAAATTTCATTTACATAGAGCAAATTATAAGCTTTAATTGAAAATTTTATGCAATGCAATGCAGAAAGAAAACAAAATATGTCCCGTCTCATAGAAATTTAAACTATAACACCTCCCTCCATCCTTGTAACCACCAGTTGCTCGGAAAGTTTAAGCTATTAAGGGATGAGCCTGACAATATGCATTGAGCTCTTACGCCCTCTCTCAGTTGTGACCCCTCTCACATGCGGAGATACAAACAGACGTAAAAATAGAGTACAAACTTGCACAGACAAACAAGATATATAAATTAATTTAAATCAAGATCTCCTAAAATTAAATCTCTGATACCTTGTAAGACAAGTTGTTATCTCAGAAGCTTAAATTGCTAAGAAATGTGTGCAACAGTGCATATTAAGCTCTTACAAAATTAATATATAAAAGCCGCATGGCAATTGTAAGTGGCACAATTGCTATTTCTTTATGAGAAAGAACGATATACTTAGCTGTTCATAATAGAAATAAGACCACACTAGCAAATACATAAAGCAAGAGTATAGCATTCTTGATATATAACCTTTTAAATGAATAATGCCTTTCCTAATTCCAACATATGGAAGCGCTGGGTGATAAACAACTGGCAAGTGATAATCTGTCAAAATTTATAGAGAAGGAATGTAGTTTCATAATCAAATATCAAAGTTTCATCTAATGCACTCATGAGATATTTCCATATCTAGAAAGTAAAGAGAAATATTTGCTAGAACGACGATGGAAGAAATATAAAATCATCTAAGATAATTCCACATATGAGGTTGTGCTATGTTACAAGCATTAAGGCATTAAGAGAAGCTATATGAAATCTTCTCCAGATACAGAAACTGTTAGGTTATGATCTATTCTTCAAAATGTCCAATCTGAACCAAACACTCGAACGGTTTTAAGTTAAAAAGAAACACCTTCCACCATTTCCCATTTTAATATTTACAACACAGCCCAAGCTTTCTATTAAGTTTTTAAAAAGCCTAACTAAGTCTTTTGAATAGATTTTCATGCAAGTGAACTTTTATCGCAATCGAACATGAGCTGAGGAGAAATTGCAACTATCTGCAGCTAAACCTCACCTCCTCTCCAAACAAATATACGAATATATATGATAAGTGCTGAAATATGCATTATTCAGCCCTTAATCTTCATTAGTTAGCAACTTGGTCTATCTCTACTCCTCCGTATTAGTCTTGATTTGTTTCATTCTCTATTTTCAGATACTTGAGATCCAACAGGGGTAATTCCAATGCCTTAAGGGTTTAAAGATGCCAAGCCTCGGAGAACAATGGAAGAAAAGTTTAAAGGTCTAATTCAAAGAAGACCCGATCGATCGGATTGTCTGTTCAGAATCCGATTGATCGGAATGTCTGTTCAGAATCCGAGGGAACGGACTTTTGATCTGATCAATCGGATACTGGCCTGGCAGTTGCGAATTTCAGATTATAAGCCTTCTTCAAGGGAGCCCGGGAGGAAGGGAACCAAGGGTCCTTGTGTACGGGGTCTGACCTCATGTGGAGCATTAGAGTCACCTATAAATAGAAGATCAAGCCCATTTGACAAGGGGATTTTTTGGTTTGATTTACAATTTTGGGGATCAAATTGGAGCTCTCTCTACTTTCTCTCTCTAGGGTTTGCTCTCAAGTTGGAAGAAGAAGATGAAGCTAAGCATGGAGATGGGATTTGAAGCCATGAAGATGACATCCATCGTCTCTATGACCAGCTAAATCTTCACTTAGGGCTTGGATGAGCCCTAAGCTTATGAAATTATATCTCGTCTTTCATTTTTGGGGATTTCTAAGTTATATATGTTGTTTGGTCTTGTGGATTCAAACTTGGTTGTACCAAGCTTTGTATTGACTAGTTCTTCCAATTAATCTTCTAATTGACTATATGTTGTCTTATATGTGGTTGATTGTTGATTGATCTCTACATTGAGTACTTTTTGTAATTGTATTCAATGATGGCCATGCATTATTTTCATTGGATACAATTTTTTTTTAGATAAGTATTTTCATTAGATACAATTGTTCTTAATTTGATGAATTATGCTTAGTCTTGATAGGTTGTTCTACACCTTAGAATAATCGTAGTTAGGTAGACAATTCATACTTGAATTTGATAATTCATGCTTATTCATTGCAATTGTAGTATATACTTGTTTATTTATGTGTGCTTGTAGCCACATCTTCATTACAACTTGTTTTCCCCATTAATTGAAGGCATTTGGTGCAATTACATGAATTTAGTGGTAAAATCCATACCCTAAGTCCCTCTCACTATTACCTTACTCCAATTTCCATTTCATATTATCTCATTTGCAATTTCTACTTAGTTTAATTACATTAATAGTTCAAACAAACCAATAATCATCTTTTTAATCTCACGCTCAATGTTAATTTCAATCCAAGCCTATAGTCCATATGTTCAATCCCTACTCCCTATACTCCAAATATAGTTGTGTAGTGGCTTTATTAATTTAAAAATTGGTGTTTCTCAATTGTCATATTCTACACATCTAAATTCATTAATCGTGAGAACGCATCAATATATTTATGAGAGAGAGATTTCCATTCTGTAGCCATCAATATGTCTACCATGCTAATAGAAATACTAGCCACATCTACATTACCCACAATGGCACCCCCCCACCCAACACAATTTTTTTTATAGGTTTCTTTTACTCCCTCCCTCTCAAAATACTTGTCCCAACTCAGCCGGTGCCATGCGGTATGGTGCCATAGCATCTTTCTATTTTGATATATCCCAAAATACATGTCTCATTCCAAAAATGGTTGTACTATTTTTTATAACATTCCCAAACTATCCTCTTGACATTGACTTGATTAAACAAGTGCACTAATTACAGAGTCGTCCTTTGTCTTTTACCAAGGATAAATTTGAAAATTCACTCTTATCAATACAATAAAAAAATACTAAAAATCCACTACCATAAAAAGTTGGGTTCCCCAAACACCCCAAGAATTTTGGGACAAAGGGAGTAATAATTATTGATGCCGAGTTTGAAAAAAACTTATTTTGGCCCCTCACACATTTTCGGAAAGCCTTGCTTATAGGCCTCTTAATAATTATTAATGTTGAGTTAGAAAAATTACATGTGCCCCCTACAAAGTTTATTGATACCTTTTTATTCTTTTTTAGAAAATCCTAATCTAAAAAAAGTAATTCCATTGTAGTGATAGTCCTAAATAAAGAATATTAATATATACACACACACACACACACATTATATCTATTATCCATAGAATTCGAGAGAGAAAAAAGGGAATGTCCGGCACTTGACAGCCTCGTTTATCGGCTGGCAGCTTCTTTCTCCTTTCTTTTTTTTTTTCTTTTTTTTTTTTTTTTTTGACTTGTAGTATTAGTTTTCTTGTTTTACTTATTTAAGAAGTTCTTTCATAATTTTTCTGGATTGTATGTGTTGTCTTTAAAAGATAATCAAAGTAGCAATAAAGTAGAAGAAGATGAAGAAGAGAAAGGAGAGGAGGAGAGAAAAAGAGAGAAAGATGGGGAAAGAGGGAAAGATTGAAAGAATACTTTCATCCTTCCACCACATTGTATTTAGATTAAGAATTTTTAGAAATTACACATAACCCCCCAACATTATATGAGTGATAACAAATAAGCCCCTGACAACACTCCCCCTCAAGTTGGTGCAAAGATATCTATCATCCCCGTCAAGTTGGTGCAAAGATATCTATCATGCCCAACTTGACTGACATATTTTGCAAGCAAGTCTTGCTCACACCCTTAGTCAAAACATCAACAAGCAACCTGATCAAGTGTGTTAACATATGGAGTACAAATCAGCCCAAGACGAAGATTTTCCTTGATGAAGCGCCGATCAACTTCGATGTGCTTTCCCTATCATGTTGAACTAGATTGTGGGCAATACTAATCGCTGCCTTCTTGTCACAATACAAATTTATGGACTTGCGAACAAGATAACCCAACTCATTCAACATACTTCGTAGCCATAACAACTCACAAATTCCATGTGCCATGGATCTGAACTCAGCCTCTGCACTAGATCTAGCTATTACCGATTGTTTCTTGCTTCGCCATGAAACAAGACTCTATCCAACAAATGTGCAATTTCTTGAAGTAGATCGTCGATCTGCCACAAACCCTGCCCAATTAGCATCCGTATAGGATTCAACACACAAGTGGCCACAATATCCCCTTACTAGGTGAACCCTTGAGGTAGCGAAAAACATAATGAGCTGCCTCAAGATAAGGTGTACGTGGAGCATGCATAAACTGACTAATCACACTCACAGAGTAGGCAATATCCGAACGTGTAAGAGATAAGTAAATCAGTCACCCAACCAATTGCTGAAATCTTCCCACATCATCTAATGGATCGCCATCCACATCATTAAGCCTATGGTTCTGCTCAATGGGAATACTAATAGGTTTAGCTCCAAGCGTGCCGGTTTCAGCCATAAAATCTAACACATACTTCCATAGAGAAATGAACACCCCTTTCTTGGATCTGCACACCTCGATGCCAAGGAAGTATCTCAATTGTCCGAGGTCTTTAACCTCAAACTATGTCCCCAAGAATGACTTCATTCGATGAATCTCTTCTGGATTATTTCCAGTGATAACAATATCATCAACATATACAATAAAGGCAGTGGTGCGGTCCTTGTGCTTCTTGATAAAG